TGGTCAATGTAGAGGTTGAACCAGTTTCTTTTGAATACACGCCTCCGGTTTTTCGATGTATATGGCGAGGGCTACTGCAGTACAAAGAAGTCGGAAACATACTGCCTTTGGCGGTAGATTTTTGTCTACTTTGTAAATGACTCTGAATGTTGATTGAGTTGAGATGCTGTGGCAGGTGTAGATGAGGTGTTTCATTATGGCGCTTCTGATTGGACCAGTACCTTCTCTTTGCAGCTATGCTGAGTAATGCTCTCTAACACGTTTTGATAGGACCCGCATAGAACGACCTATGTACCTAGCTCCACACCAGCAAGTGAACTGTTATGTGCACATTGAAGTGGTCACATGCGGAAGTTTGTCCTTCACACTGTTCCGAAGCAGTGGGCTGCTGGAGAATATCACTCTTAGAGTTGTTTCAGGGAAGGTCTTCTATAAGGAACTGGAGATTCTCCTTTTAAGGATATCTACTGCGGAATATCTCTCCTGAACTTCAGATTCACATATAGTGTTTTCTTTGAGACTGAAGTGCTTTCTTCCCTTTTTGGCTTTGGTTTCATGTTCTTCTCCTCGAAACGCGTTGGTTATCCATTTTGAGTTAGGATGTTTTTGAGAAATAGAAGCTCTTCTTCTAAGCAGTCACTGCGGCAAATTCTTCTGGTACGGTGGGCGGCCAGTGAGATGATGGGAACCTTCTTTTGACTGATAGGTATCCGACTGTAGAAGTTTGTCAGATTGGCCATTCTATGATGGTTTTCTTTGGATAGGTCTTTACAGAGTTCCAGAATCTCTTGTCGATTCGACGTCCAGCAGTGGAATCTTTGATTTATTTTCAACTTCCATTGTGAATTTAATTGAAGGATGGCGATTGTTAAACTCATCTAGAGTACGATTTAAATCAGAATCATCATGCCAAACTATAAGTGTCATCGACGCACCTTTTGTACAGCCGCAATTTGTCCATTGTGGATTTTAAGATCCTATTTTCCAAACTGGCCATAAAACAGTCTGCCAAAAGTGGGCCAAGGGGTGAGCCCATGGCATTCCCGTCTTTCTGTCTGTGAATATCGTCGTTGAATATAAAGTGTGCGTTAAATGTGCACCTTAGCATTAACTCTTGCAGATATGAGGTTGGTATTCCGATGCTCAGATTCCTATCATCCATATATTTACAAAGGAAAAAAATTGTTTCTGTGAATGGCACATTCGTAAATAAAGATTCTACATCCAGTAGTGATAACATTCGTTTACCATTTACATTCAAATCTTTTATGCATTCAATAGATTCAAAAGTATCTCGAAGAGGGTACTTACAGAGTTGTTGTCTCACATGCTCTAGCATTTTGGACAACCATTTAGCATTCGGATGATCCCGCCATGTCTATAATTGGTAGAAGTGGCAGACCAGCTTTGTGCACCTTTGGTAGACCGTAGAGTCGGGGGGTAATTGATCCTGTTGGTCTCAGGCGTTCAAATAGGTCTTCACTCATGACACAGTCGTTCTTCATTCTTCTTTGAACATCTGTCAGTTGCTGTTCCATTAGTTCTGTCCGATTTTTCTCATTGTCTGGTTTTGAAAATTTTCTATCATTGGAGATTAGAGCTGTCAATTTTCGTTTTTTAGTATACATATCTCTCTCCACGAGAACCACCCCCGAACCTTTGTCTGGATGAGTAATGACTAGATCTTTGGCATTTCCCAAGTCTTTAAGCTGCTGTTTGTGTTCTTTTGTAATAATAACAATAATAGTAATAAGCTTTATCTCAAAACAGTACTCATTTAATAAAGCGGGTAATACCTAGCATTTGATACGATATTGCTTCTAACTTACTAAACAAGAGCAAAAACAAAAGCAAAAAATTATACCATAGGGTATAGGTAACCAGAATTGATAATAGCAGCTTTTCGTTATTAGGAGTAAAATAAGAGCCTACGGCTAGTTGTCATCTGAAGTGGTGATGACTAGTGGAGTCCGTCAAGGATGCCCATTATCCCCATTTCTATTCAACTTCATCATAGACGTACTAATGGAATTAACCCTAAGTGAATTCAGAGACTCAGGGATTGACTTGCTACCAGGGAATAATCTAGTTCACTTAGAATATGCCGACGATATAGTCCCTCTAGGTGAGGACACTGACAAAATGCAGAGTCTTCTGAACACCTTGAGGAGCAATAATCTTCTAATGTTTGGTATGCGATTCGCTCCCCTTGTGAAATATAAGATGATGCTACAGGACTGGACTGGACTACATTGACTCTTAGTTTAGAAATAGGAAGCGAAGTGGTTAGTGGGGCGTGTTGACCACCTCACTTATATGGGAAATTGCATCAACCAACGCCAACGGGTTGATCGGTGATGAAATCTCAGCATGGATACAGAAGGCTCGTTTGACATGTGCCAACATACGCCATCCCTGGTGTAGACGTGTGATATCTGGCTGGCTATAGACCAAAGGGTGTGTGTACTGCTCAGCAGCAGTTAACTCCGTCCTCTTTTATGACTGTCAGTGAGACCTGGCCATTGATAGTGGGAGACATTAAATGCCTGGCTAGCTGCCTTTTATCATAGGTGCCTGTGTTCCATCTCCGGTGTTAAGTGGTATAGTGGAGTGAGCAATATTCAGTTTAGGTTTCGGTCGAGCGCTAGGTAAGGACGGGAAATCAATCGACGAGACTGTGAAGTTACATAGACTGAGATGGTCAAGATGTGTTACGTATGCTAGCCTAGCCATCGCCTTCCTCGACAACGGGCAATGTTAACTGACTGACATAAGATGGATCAGGTTGGAAAAGAACCAGACCAAAACATGGCTTCATCAGTCAATGAAATCCATAACAGTTAGTTTAAGCCAGCCACGTAGGAAGGTGTAGACTTCCTGACTGGTTGCGGTCCTCGGAACGGTAAACACCAGTGGCTGGAGACATTGGGTGATATGGCCCGAAATCGTTCTCAGTGGCTGGTGCAGATGCATCCACTCCTTGTGACTTCTAATATCCAATAAAACTATATTGTTCTTCGATATTACTATCTTTTTTGCCTCATATCTCTGGTTGGTGTCTCTGTATTGCATTTCTTTTTATTTCCTTCTCTTGCTTTGTGTGCTACATGGAGGGAGAGTGGCAACTGGAACTGCTGTACATCGGTGCAAAGTTCTACGTTGAAACCAGTCAGTCAGCAGTGATGATAAACACACAAAAATGTACAGAATATGTGTAAAATAGTGACAATAATCTGAATAGCTAAAATTATAAGTTAACTGAAATATTGTCACCATAGACTACGAACAGGATAGGATAAAATAACGAATTATTTTGCTAATTACATGGTAAGTTATAGGTTTCATGCTTAACAATATGTCTGTGGTATAGAAAGCGGGCCAAATAGGGTATCGTTGAGTTTTTGTACTTGGTTGTTGCTCGAGCGAGCAGATAATCTTTTATAATGACTTCTGATGAAATGGCAGACTGGGAGAGTTGAGATTACAGAGTGTCTTGAAAGTCAGACAATATGAATTCATTAGTTTGCCGTTCCATTTCGGTTTTCTGTGAATGGACCTCTTCAGGGTTATATCATCTCTTCGTGTTAATTCCACGTCCAGAAATGGAATCTTTGAATCGTTTTCTAATTCCATTGTGAATTTAATCGAAGGATGGGAATTATTAAATTCTTGTAAGATGAAGTTGAGGTCCGAGTTATCGTAGCAGACTATAAAGGTATCGTCAACGTACCTTTTGTACAGTAGTAATGTTTTTATTTGTTGATTTTAAAACTCCACTCTCCAAACTGATCATCAAGCAGTCTGCTAAAAGCGGGCCAAGAGGAGATCCCATTGCAATTCCATCTTTCTGTCTGTAGATGTCGCCGTCGAAGGTGGATTGTACATTCAGCGTGCATCGCAGCAACAATTCCTTCAGATATGATATTGGTACTCCGACGTTTATATTGGATTTCTCCATATAATTGCACAGAAAACAAATTGTTTCTGTTAGTGACACGTTGGTAAAGAGAGATTCGAAATCTAGTGATAACATATGTTTACCATTTACATTCAAATCTTTTGTGCATTCAATGAACTCAAAAGTATCGCGAAGGAAGTATATGCACAGATGTTTTCTTACCGGCTCTAACACTTCGGACAACCATTTGGCGATTGGATGGTATGGTGACCCTGACATGTCTAGAATCGGTCGAAGCGGCAGGCCAGGTTTGTGCACCTTTGGTAAGCCGTAAAGTCAGGGAATGGTTGATCCTGTCGGTTTTAGGCGATCGAACAGGTCCTCAGGTAGCAGACGGTCGTTCTTCATTCTTCTGAGAACATCTGTTAGTTGTTTTTCGATCAGTTCTGTCTTGTTTTTCTCGTTGTTGGGCCTGGCGAACTTCTTGTCATCTGATATAAGTGTTGTTAGTTTGTTAATATATACATCTCTGTCCATTAGGACCACTCCTGATCCTTTGTCAGGACTTGTTATTATCAAATCTTTATTGTCTCTTAGTTCTTTGAATTGTTGCCTATGTTCTTTTGTCAGGAGATGTCGGGCTTGAGTTTTTAAGCTGAGATACTGATACTGAATAGGTCCATCCACAGAAAACGGACTTGGAACGGTCAACTAACGCATTTCTATAATTGGATACCTTTGAGACGAAAATGAGCTCTCATCATCGCACTAACTCATCGCATTAGAAAAATCTGCAGCAGTGATTGCATAGAAGAGGAGCTCCTATTCCTCAAAAATATGAATTCAAACCATTTCTCATATGAATTCAAGTGTCTGTCGACCACAGTAGTAACAGTCTGACTAAATGACTTAGTGGTACACTACTTGTCCTCCTGACAACCTTTAATACTCTGCTTGTTTATTAATAGGCTGATACATATGTAGGAAAAACTGGATTAGTTCAAGTGGTTGACAAATCATACTCTTATTGTATTTATTATTCTATAACAATAATAATATCATGTACCGTGCTAATATTATTTCCGGTTATGTTCATTTCCAGAAATTTACAGAATAATGGTACAGAATTCCCTGACAGTCAAGGTGCTGCCAATGGTTCAGGCGATGGAAATTCATCCAAACGAATACCAAAACCAGGACCTCCAAAGAAAATATATCGTTGGAACTCTGAGTGCAGGTATAACTTTTATTTCATGGAGTGTGTGTCTGTATCTTGAAGTTACCTGAGAGTTCCTTAAAATTATGGGACACGATTTAAGCAAATACGTATTTTATGGGAAATTCTTATCAGGTTTTATTATTATTATTATAATTATTATATTATTGTTCCCTTGGGTTCCTAGTGGAACATAGGGCTTCAGCTACACATCTCCACTTGCTTCTGTCTTTTGCTGTACTTTTCACTTGCATCCATGTTAGTCCATACTGTTTCAACTCCTCTTCACACGATCTCCTTCATGTCACCCTTGGATGTCCCACTCGCCGCTTCCCTTTCGGGTTCCACTCAAGCACTGGCCTGACGCGCGATGTCACCCAACGGCCTCCTCAGCGAGTGTCCAATCCATCTCCACTTTCTCCTGCATATTTGTTGAGCGATTGGTTCTTGTTTTGTTTGTTCCCATAGTTTCTTGTTGGTGATTCTTTCCGGCCATCTGATCTTGAGTATAGAGCAACGAAGACAGTTGTTGATAAAGGTCTGTGTAACCTGTTGGAAATATTCTTTGTGACCCGCCAAGTTTCTGATCCGTATAGAACAACTGACTGACTTGACGTTTGTACTGAAAATCCGAATTTTGTTGTTGATGCTGAGTGACGAAGATTTCCAGATTGGTTTCAGGTTGATTAATGTGTTTTTTTGCCTTCTCGATTCTCGATTTGACATCCTCGTCGTCCGTTCCTCCTGTAGTTGAGACAATGCTCCCTAGATGATAAGTGAATGAAGTAACCTCTTTCAAATCCCCCCGTTGTTGGTGATTGGCGCTGGATGTTGCTGCTGTTTTTCTTGTTGTTGGTTAGTTATTTTCATAACCTCCGTCTTGTCTATGTTCACCTGGAGTCGTGTCTTTGCTGCTTCTTCGACCAGTTTGTCGGTTTTCGCTTGTAAGTCTTCGCTTTTGTGTGACATCTCATCAGGTTTTACACTTACATAATGATGAAATATTAGTCATGGGCATTTGAATGATGAATGTGGTTAATGAAATATATAGGATCAGAGTTCAGGGATGTGAATTAATGGATAACAAGTGAAGTGATACCGGGGACAGTTGTTCAAAGGGAGAAGAGTAATAGTAACAATTGACGTAATAAAGGAAGAGTGTACAAATTGAGTAAACAAAACGAAAAAAAGTTGGTAGAGCCAAAATATGACTGGGGATTAACAAAGTTTAGCATAGAGGGATTAAGGGACCATAACAGTTGGAGGGGTTGAATGGCCTTTTTCTGTACACAGAGATCTGTGTTTTCTGTTTCCATAGCCAAAACTTCAGCAATACAGATGAGTCGGATATGTAGTGATTTGCGCAAATCACTTTTCGCCTTGTAGATGACCAACTCTATGTGCGTTTATCAATTCACCTGCTCGTGTCGAGCTAGGTATTATCGGTCGTTCGACTTGAGTTGTGTCCAAGAGAGTGCAAGCACACTATCCTGTTTGATTACGAAGAGGTGGAAGTGGAGCAATAAGAAGCGCGAACATTGAACATCTCTATAGCTTCCACCTTTAAAGTCATCCACAGTTATTATTATTATTGTTTAGTTTAATTCCTAGAGGAACATAGGGCTTCAGCCGTGCGTCTCCATTGCGTTCGGTTCTCTGCTAGAGTCTTCACCTGGCTCCAAGTCTACCCACATGCTTTCATCTCCTCTTCACTTGACCTCCTCCAAGTCACCCTTGCACTGACGACCAACTCTCCGCTTCCCTTTCGAGTTCCACTCGAGCAATGGCTTGTCTAGTGATGTCACTTGATGGGTTCCTCAGAGTATGGCCAGCCAATCCATCTCCATTTCTTCCTGCCTATTTGTTTCACAATCGGTTCCTGGTTGGTTCGCTCCCAGAGATCTCTGTTGCTGATCTTTTCTGGCCATCTGATCTTGAGTGGTATTGACCGAAGACAACTGTTAATGAAGGTTTGTAGTTTGTTTGAGATGCTCTTTATGACGTGCAGTGCAAGTCTCTGATCCGTATATTGAGTAGCATTGACTTCACATTGGAGTTGAAAATCCGGATCTTATTTTTGATGCTGAGTGTTGTTGACCTCCACACAGACTTGAGAGTAGTGAAAGCTTGTCTTGCTTTTCCGATTCTTGCTTTGATATCCTCGTCAGTTCCGCCTGTAGTTGAAATGATGCTTCCCAGGTAGGTAAAGGAGGTTGTTTCTTTCAGGTTCCTTCCATTTATGCTGATTGTTGTCTGTTGTTGTCGTTGCTGTTGGTGGTGTTGCCCAGGAATCTTCATCACCTCTATTTTCTCTATGTTCACCTGAAGTCCTATCTTTGTTGCTTCTTCTGCCAACTTGTTGCTTTTCGCAAAGTCATCCACAAGGCGAAAAGTAATTTACCGAAATCACTACGTACCCGACTCATCTGTATTGCTGAAGCTTTGGCTATCGAAACAGAAAAGCCAGATCTCTGTGTACAGAAAAAGTTCACTCAACCCCTCCAACTTTCATGGTCACTTAATCCCTCTACGCTAAAGTATGCTGATCCCTAATCATATTTTGGGTCTACCAATTTTTTTCGTTTTGTCTATTCAATTTGTATACTCTTCCTTTATTATGTCAATTGTTACTTTCACTATCCTCATTTTGAATTCTCACCGGTATTATTTCACTCGTTCGACTTTTAATTCTAAATCAATTCTGTTTTGCAACGTTAAATTCTATATTATCAAATTTCACACAATGTTACGTAACGTTTTTATTTTATTTGATTTGTCTACTAATCCTGTAACGGATAACGATCGAGATGGTAATAATAATAATAACAAATATGAATTCATTCAAGTGTTTATGTAATCTAAGCAACGGTGAGTGTATAGGTAGATGGGGTCCTCGGGATGGTGAAAACCATTGCCTGAAGACAATGGATGACATGCTTCAAAATCGTTCTGAATGGCGCAAATGCATCCACTCTTTGTGATCTATCATATCCAATGAGACTTTATTGTTCTTCCATATTATTATTCTTTTTACCTCACTTTATTATTAATTCATTAACTTCCCAGTGGGACATAGGGCTTCAAGCCGGAGGCTTAGCGAGGTAAAGGAGTGCGTCGGCCAGGAACCGAACCCCGGACCATGTGCATGGTCGGTGACTGTCCTTAACGTCTGTGCCACGGACACCTTTTTACCCCACAGTTCTGTTTATTGTCTCTCTCTCTCTCTTGAATCTCTCTTTACTCTCTTCTCTTGCCTTGTGTGCTACATGAAGGGAGAGTGGCAACTGGGACTGCTGCACATCTGTGCAAAGTTCTAAGTTGAAACCAGTCAGTCATTTCTGTCACAGGCATTTTCGATTGGTTCTATAAAAAATAGTTTCCATTATGGATCTCTCCCTCCTCACCCTGTTATATTAGATTTTAAAACCGTCATCTTATCCCATCTAATTGTATGGTTATGCGTAATTGCGTGCAGTACTATGACTGATCTATTCCTCACATATCTTATCTTAGCGGTCGGGTCAAATAATCTAGATTCTGTAAGGTTCCTTTGTCCTACTAGTCTGATTGATCCTGTTCTCTACCACATGTATTTGACCTGACAATCATTGCAGGCAGAGTATTAGATAAACTAAATTGTTTTATTTAATCGGCTCCACAAGATCCTTTAACTGACAGAGTTTGCTTCTGAGTGAGTTTGTGGGTTTGAATGCCGAAAACATGGAACCTCGGAAGCATTACGTAGAATTCTTAACGATGCATGGAGGAATAAAAGTGCCATTCAGTCACTCACAAACTCAATTAGAAACAAGATCTTGTGGAGCCAATCAAACAAAACAGTTTAGTTTATCTAATACCTTGTTTCAATGATTGTCAGGTCAAAGTAGTAGAACAGGTGCAGTCAGACTAGCGGAGCAGGACAGAAACCTAGCAAAATCTAGATTAATAGGGGGAGGGGGGCGACGTCGCCCCCCTCCCCCTATTAAATTATAATTGTCCAAATTATTTTTATTTTTATTTTGACTTCTTCTTTAATCACGTGTTATTCTTGTAAAAATCTAGATTAGTTGATCCGACACTAAGATAAGAAATCTGGTGAATAGTTCAGCTGTAGCACCACACTACATGCCATTACACACAACACAGCCATTCAATAGTATGGGATAAGGTGACAGTTCTAAAATCTAACATAACACGGCGGGAAAACGGGGATTGATAACGGAAACTGTATTCATAGAATCAACTGAAAATACGTGTCTGGGCAGATATCTGAAAAATTCTGCTACCCCGTACGACAAGTGCGAAGGCATAAAGAAAACTATAAACTAAAAGTTTCGAAGTTGTGTAGTTACAATTGACACTGTGATTATAATCAATAGAGAATTGTTGATGTTAGATAGTTGGAGGCAATCGGCCACAGGAAGCCTTGCTTGACCTAGGTTTCGTGCTAGTTGGCACTCATCAGCAAGGCGTATCTGCAATCTTGAAGGAACTCATGTCCCTTCTGAGATTCGAACCCGCGTCACCCAGTGATGCATTCAGAGACGTTGCCATAGCATATTGGAAGTACATACGCTGTATAATTCATTTTTAATACATATGAGTATTATAAATACACTTTTGTTATAAATGAAATGCCACTTTTCACCTAAAAGAATCCTATTGGTTGTTTCAAGGTCGTCCGAAGTCGGTGTCTATTCTTTACTGTTGCCACTCTTGCTCTTAATAGATAGATCTCCATTTAACCCTGTTCTCTTCAGTCTGCTTTCCTTGGCCCAATAATTGCCCGTAGTCTCCTCTTCACGCCATCCCTTCCATATCACTCTCGGACACTCGTCCAACTCGTTGTTTCCCACTCAAGGTTCACTCGAACGATTGCCTGGTGTGCGACGTCTCCCGGTAGTTTCCTCAGGGTGTGTTTGATCTATCTCCATTTCTTTGAGCAATGGTTTCCTAGTTGGTTCGTTCCCGGGTGTTCCTTGTTGCTGATTTTTTTCTGACCAGCCATCTGATCTTTAGTATGGAACAACCAGCGAAATGGGCAACTGTTGATAAAAGTCTGCAGCAGTCTGTTTGAAATGCTTTCGATGACGCCAATGGTCAAGTTTTTGTGAACCATATAGAACATAGCTGTTGAAAATCTGTTCGTCAGTACGCATCCATAACCCTAGAGAGTCGAATAGTTGAACCAAAGGACCAAGGCCGTTAACTGCTATATGTTGACCCCCAGACTCCCAGGTCGATAAAATTATCGGTGTACAGATTAGTCAGTGTGTCTGCGCTATTTCTGTGACAGTACAACTGAGCATACGTATGCCTTCAGTGCCTTCAAAAACACTGATTCTTGTAAACAAAATCAATCCTTCAAACAGTTATTTACTTAGTTGTGTATGTGTTTTGGCCGGCAACTTGTTAGCTCCTGGTGATTAATAGAGTTGACCACATGCTCTGTTAACTGATCATTAGTAATGATCTGTGAGGAGATGAACGATTTTTATTGGTTTAATTGTCTCTGCTTGTTAACTTAGTATTAAGGTCTCTCTCTCTCTAAAGATAATCTTTCACATTCTTTCTTCTGTTATCGCATAGTGTAATTGATTGTTGCTAGGACATATTGAAAAAGATTAATGGTCTACGACCTCCCTTTGTAAGTAGAGTGAGTGCGTTTTGCTGAAGAGTCGTAAACTGGAGCGAAACAGCTTTTCAGTACTCTCAGGTTTTCCAATGATTCTCTAATTGATGTCAGCTCACAATGAAATCCTGAATCCAATCGAATCCCTGAAAACCAACGCCTTCAAAGGAATCTTATTATTCAGTACTTCATCGTGTATTGATTTCGGTTAGAGAACTATTGGAAATCCTGGGAGTACTGGAGAGCTTTTTGGAAGTGTGTGAGCGGTTGTTACTTCCCGGCTACCCACACCGTGGAAGTTGATTGATTCTTCGGGTACCTGAAACAGAAAGAGGGTTAGTGTTGCGTGACCGCATGGCCCAGGGGAGAAGTGCTTGAGGCCGGTCACACACGGTCTGTATGAACTAGTTTCTGGGATTGGTTCCGTATTAGTAAACTTACTACCGGTTACGGACCACCGTAGGGTAAGTCGGGATGTACAATTTTTGGGGTCGACCTTTTCTAACCTCCTCTCTCCGGAGTGGAGAGACAACATAGCTGGCTGGCATGCTGGTCATCTGAGGGAAACATCTCACTGTTGTCACACCCCTGTTCCCCAGCAGTACGACTTCGCCCTCAGACCCTTGGCATAGTGTAAGAAAGATTCTTGCACAACGCCGGTAATTGCTTTCAGTCTAATATCTGTCTGGATTCCACATAGAACAACTTAGCACGGAAGTGCAGCAGTTCGAGTTGCCACGTTCCAAACAGCACACAAAGGTAGACAAGAAGATGAGTGAAGCGAATCAATAGAGTTTGGACAAGTATAAAAGTGAAACAGAACGAGTAATGGTAGAAAGGAATATGAAAGATTACAGAGACTGAATATATCTGCGTAAGCCATTGACAACGATTTTGAGCCATGTCACCTGTTGTCTCCAGCCATTGATTCCTAGAGTCCCGAGGGTCCCAACCCGGAAGTCTGCATCTCCCTACCTGAGTTAGTTTAACTGTCAAGGATTTCATGGATTGATTGATGCCATGTTTTTGTTTGGCCACCACTTAGTCTTTTCCAACCTGCACCTATATCAGGTAGTAATGCCCGTCGGGGTGGGGGAGGCGATGGTTAGGCATGCGCAGCACGTGACCTAGCCATCTGAATCTATGTAACTTTATAGCCTCGTCGAGTGATTTTCCCTCTTTGCCCAACACTACGCCTAACGTCAACATTACTTACCTTATTATACCACCTAACGTGAGAAAGAGATCGTAGACATCTATGATCAAAAACAGTCAACCTTTTCATGTCTTCAACTCTTATTAGCCATGTTTTAGAGCCATTGGGAAGGATGGAGCGAACTGCTGAGCAGTACACACATCCCTTGGTTGATAGCCGGATGTCACGCCTACCCCAGAGATGGCGTAAGTTGTTAGCGAAAGCAGCTCGAGCTTTTTGGATCCGTGCTGAGATTTCGTCAGCGATCAACCCGTTGGCACTGGCTGATACAACTTCACAAATAGGTGAAGTGGTCAACATGTTCTATCACTTCATTCCCTATCACTAAGCTAGGAGTTGACGTATTCCATTCCTGTAGCAGCATCTTACATTTTACAGGGGCGAATCGCATGTTAAACATACGAAAATTGCTGCTCAATGTGTTCAGAAGACTTCAGTCTAATGGCGATTTAGTCTTATCGCTATCCTAACAACCTTTCTGGCATGGTAGGACCTGCAGGAACAACCAGTGAAGCTTGTTGGGTCATCGCGATTTGCAAGCCCGATCACCACGTCAAGGTAGCAGCTATCGGTCGGTCCTAAGCTGTTTCAACCCAGCTTGGGACTCCTCACTAGTACTCATCCAATGGGGTTCGAACCCAGGACCTTTAGGTTAGCAGGCAAGCTCGTAGACCATTAAGCCACAGGGACCCGATCCAGTGGTCCATGAACTAAAAATTCTACCAATTCACGACATAGCGCGACCACTAGCCAATTTTTTCGGCGAGTATTCCTCCTCACGACCGACCTGCTGTACCCTACTGGTCACGACTTTCCACTACAACCCCAGGTGACTACCTACCTGAATAGAGCCAGTCACTAATGAGCATTAGATTGATATTCAAGCCGCTGTCAGTTCATAATGAAATCTTATAACCAATCAAATCCCTGCGATTATTATTATTACTTTCTGTGGTCTACTTCTAACTATGCTGCTGCACTTGTTTTTGTTTTTTCACCATCATTATATATTTATAGGCAGTTATTTGAGAAAATTATTCTTTGCCGACTTGAAAGTTACAAGCTGTTAAATATTAAAGGTTCCGCTGAAGACTATCTTCGACGCCTGTTTCCAACTTTAATACAATTATGGCCTGATGGTTGGATTACAAATGCGTAAGTTGTAAATTCTGTTTTGTCTTCTCTTCTTCTCCATTTATTGTGATTGTTACTCCTTGGTACTTTCAATGTGTAGTTAATTATCTTCAAAAGTAAAAAAATACATTTCATACACGCATTAATATTCCCCTTTATAAAATTTGAATAACGCAAGAACAACAGAGGTTTGTTCAGAATATAAGATGGTACCATCATTGTTTATTTCGTTTGGCTTCTCATCAGATACGGTACAGCCTAAAGATATTATTATTATTATTGTGTTTATGTACAAAAGAATTTTAACATCCTACCTACTCGGATTATGCAACGCACGGAGGATGGTAGTCTCCAGAGGTGGTCAATTTACGGAAAACCTGCATCGGCAATGGACAACACTCACATTATTTTAATAGTTTTTGTCCAAATAGCTATTAACGAGCACTGGTTAAAACTCTGTTTTTAATAGAGTCAGGAGAATATGCTCTACAGAGAAAAAGAAGAGGAAGAATTTCTAATTCCTTAACAAAATGTTGAAAAACAACGATTACCTATAGAAATTTATTAACAAGCGTGTAAGATGTGAAGGCTTAAATGCCAAACATATCAAAGTGTGTGGGGGGAGGGAGAAAGGCCTATCTTCATTCAGCTCAATTTTATAGGTGATAATGTTACAGGAACTGAAGTAGCCAGAACCTATTCTGCAGCTAAGATAGTTTCCGTTTATCGGAGAACATGCTCTTTGGTGCAATCAATAGTCAACAGATATCCTTCTCATGTTGACTTTTACTGTGTATAGCAACTAAAATTTGTCTATGGGAGCAGTTACATTGGGAGAACCTCTGATTTGATGAGCATGTACCAAAAGGCCTCCATCTCAACGGAACAAATGCTTTCAGTGGTGCCACTGCCAGTCACCTCGTAGATACGGGTCATCAGATGGACATCATGAAATCCTTCAAAATTATCAGTAGACAAAATAGCTAAATACTGCTCAAGTTTCCCGAAGTAATCGCTATCAAACGCCTGAAACTCGATTTATATGTTCAGAAAGAAGCAGTTATCGTCAGTCTTTCCTTGCCCAACTGGTAACTGAATGTCTTTATTTACTCTCTCTCTTTCATTTGATTACGTATTCCTTGGCTTTAACCTTACCCCCTCCCCTATGATATAGTGTAATTTTGCTTGTCTCTTGTTTCTATGATTTGGGTTGAACTCAGTACATTGTTACCTAATTTATTAGTAACTCATCATCTTACGCACCTCTCGTCTTTATTACGTAACTCCTTTATCATTACATGCAACCATTTGCAAGTATGTTAAAATTGTTCTGTACGTAAACCTAGTAGAATTTAGAACAACACATTTAAGCGAACAATAGTGCGCTGTCAATTAGATGTCATCAGGCTTAACTCTAATACACCTACATAACTTTACAAATAAAAATTCAAATATAAACCAATCATGGTGTTTTGTCTATAGGATAATAAGATGGTGAATATAAATTGTGCAATTAGTCATAATAGTAGTAATGATAATAATAATGGTCTTATCAATAATAAGGATGAAAAAGTGAGGCAATCTGTGATAACACGAATAATGAAAAACAGCATGATTAAACAAACAAACAACTGTTCTGGTGGAGGTAGTCGATAAAGGCTAGTAAAAACAAATGAACCGATTAAGTAATGTTAGATTGTAAGGGAAGTAAATGAAACACGTTTTTAATGAAGATGTGATAAGATTAAGGGATGATAAGAAAGCGGTTAAAAATATAAGTAAGTAAGGGGTGGTGTAGAAGAAATCATTAGTTAGTTATGTCTTAATAGGCCAGCAAGGAAGGGATAATGGCTGTACGAACTTTTTTTGAACACATAGTTTAGGTTTAATAGTTTGAATGCCTATCGCCTGCGTCATCTGTGTGCAGTAGACGAATGCGAAGTCTATTGAAAAGATTCAGTGGGATACGATGAATTACTTTGACGGCTCTCTTTTTCTCCACTACATGACCACTATCAATTAAGTGTGACAAAATTGAGCTACGGATTGTTTTTGTCTGTCCTTTGCGAAACCACCACAATGGGAGATGTTCACTAACACGTTGGCTAAGCTGTCTAGTAGTAGTACGCCCAAGATAACTGTCACCGCAGGTGCAGTTGAACTGATAAATGCACATAGAGGTGGCAAAACTGTCTAGCTTATCCTTCGTTTGCGCTCCAATCATTCGTCGGCTAAAGAATGACAAACACAGGTATGCTGCGTAAGACGTTCTTCGTATACTCCTGAAAAGTCTCTGGAATAAAATCTCACTTGATAAGTCACCATTAAATTGGAACCTAATAAATAGAGGTTCTTTACGTGCAGTCATCGTTTCAGGTTTTCTCTGATGTTTTCGTATATTTCCTTGTGAAACTACTCGGATAGCCCATCTCCGGTTTATATTCACCATCTTATCATCCTATAGACAAAACACCATGATTGGTTTATATTTGAATTTTTGTTTATAAATTTATGTATTATTAGAGTAAAGCCTGATGAGATGTAATTAAAACCACAATATTGTCCGCCTAAATGTGTTGTTCTAAATTTTACTATAAAAATATTTAATAAACGTAGTAATAATTTCTTTAAGCTGTACGTAGCTGGATGAGAAGCCAAAGAAAGAAATAAAGAATGCTACTATCCATCTTATTCTGCAGAAATTGTTCATGCGTTAATTCAAAAGTAAAAATGTTTGCACTCCACCTTGTGTGTGTGTATAGTCTGCAGGTAAGGTTTATAATTTAGTATAGATACTTTTAATGCAATAGCCTGAAATATTCCCATGTTATGAATTAAACAGTTGGTGTGAACAAAGAATATTCTTTTCAGTGAATTCTCTTTCGATTCTTATAGTTTAGAAATCTAAAGTTCTAGGCTCAATAATAATGCGTAGACTAAGTAGGCGACGCGAGGCACAAACACGAGAGAAACAGGCAGGCTTTAGACCAGGAAGCAAGAGAGTGTATTGAACATATCTTCACCCGTCGACAGATTCTGCAACATAGGCATACCTACCGTCGACATCCAACAATCGTTATATTTCTTGGCATAAAGGCAGCATTCGATTCTATCGACCGAGAGGTACTATGGTGATGCTTGGCTGTGAAAGGAATGCCGAGAAAATACATTCCACTGATCAAGGCACTCACTCTACTTGAACTCATAGAGTCAGCCAGGTGAAAGTCTACGGCTAGTTGTCGTCTGAAGTGGTGACAACTAATTGTGTCCGACAGGGATGCCAACTGTCCCCATTTCTATTCAATTTAACCATAGATGTACTAATGGAATTAACGCTAACTGAATTCAGGAACTTGGAGATTAATTTGTTACCAGGGTATAGCCTTGTTGACTTAGAATATGCAGATGATATAGGCCTTCTTGGCAAGGACGCTGACAAAATGCAGAGTCTACTGAACACCTTGAACTGCAATCTAAGAATGTTTGGCATGCGATTCGCCCCTGTAAAATGTAAGATGATGCTGCAGGATTGGACTAGACCACAATGACTCCTAGCTTAGACGTAGGCAGTGAAGTGGTTGGTGGAGAATGTTGATCACTTCATTTATTTGGGAAATTATATCAGCCAACGCCAACGGGTTGATCGGTGACAAAATCTCAGCATGGATACAGAAGGCTCGGTTCTCATAAGCCAACTGATGCCATATCTGGCATAGACGTGATATCCGGCTATCGATCAAAGGGCGTGTGTACTGCTCAGCAGTTGGCTCTGTTCTCCTTTATGACTGTCAGTGAGACCTGGCCATTGAGAGTGGAAGATATGAAAAGCTTGGTTAGTTGTCTTTGATCACAGGTGTCTATGTGCTACCTCTTGTGTTAAGTTGTATAATAGGGCGAGGAATATTAAGATTAGGCTTCGGTCGAGTGCTAGGTAGGTGTGAGGAGAAATCAATAGACGAGGTTGTGAAGTTACATATACTGAGATGGTTAGGACATGTGTTACGTATGCCTAGTCATCGATGGCCTTCCTCGACAATGGGCAATGTAAGCTGACTGACATAGGATGGATCAGGTCGGAAAACAAGAGCTGGTGGTGGTCAAACCAAAACATGGCACTAGTCAATGCAATCCACAATAGTTAGTTTGATCCAGCCACGTAGGAAGGTGTAGACTGCCTAGCTGTTTGGGGTTCTCGGGACGGTAGAAACCAACGATGACTAGAGACAATTGGTGATATGGCTCAAAATCGTTCTCAATGGTTGGCGCAGATGCATCCACTCCTTGTGACTTACAATATCCAATAAATTCCATATTACTATTATTTTTGCCTCATATCTCTGTTTACTGTCTCTGTTTTACTTTCTTCTCTTGCTTTGTGTGCTACATGGACTGTGGTGACTCGAACTGCAGCACATCGGTGGAAAGTTCTACGTTGAAACCAGTCAGTCAGTCACTCAGTATAGTTTAGAACAATGAGTCTCTTAAGGATAGTGTTATTCATAGCTGGAGTTAATCTTTAAAACAAATACCTGACGTTTTTGTGCAAACCAACGTGATCACACGCATACTGCAGATTGATTGACAGAGATAAGTTGTAGTTGTATACTACTCATTACCCAGCCAGTAGTGTGGCTTGCTAGCCAGATTGAAGTGTGATCTAAACCAGTGGACGGTCGTTTTACTCGTTCTGCGGTGGGGTTGAGGGGTTGGGTGAGCTCATCAGCGATACACCACCACCACACGTTTGACTCAGTTCAGAGAGTTGAATCACTTTCAAAGCAAATTGATTTCTAGCCAGGTATTGGAGCTGAACTGGTAAATAAATACCCGTAAATCATATTCGCAAATTACACATTGACTTGTCAAATCAATGTATTGAAATATAAGCCAATCAGACAGTGGTTTGTCATTTTGGTGTGATAATTCTTTGCATACAAATTGTGCAATTAGTCATAATTAAACGACAATAACAACAACAACAACATAATAATAATGATTCTATCAATAACAAAGATGAAAAAGTGGAGTGATCTCTGATAACAAAAATAACGAAAAACAGCACGAACAAAACAAACAAATAATTAAGTAGACATAGTTATCGATAAAGGCTAAGAAAATCAACAACAAAAGGTTCGATTAAGTAATGCTAGACTGTTAGGGAAGTAAATAAAATACCTTTTTAATGAAGATGTGATAAGATTAAGAGGATGCTAAGGGACGGGTTGGAAATATAAGTTAAAGGTGGCGCATATATGCATATATATTCATCTACGTTTCGAGCGGAACATAGGGCTGCTTCAAGCTAGAGGCTAGCCTCATGCCCAACCTTGCCTCTTTACCAGTCTTACTGCTGACTTAGCGCCAGCCGGGGATCGTACTCTGGACCACCTGCGTCGTTGGCGAGCATTTCAACGCTGTGCCACTGATGCACCATGCCATATCACCAATTGTCTTTGGCCATCGTTGGTTTCTACCGTCCCGATGACCCCAAACAGCTAAGCAGTGTACACCTTCCTACGTGGCTGGATCAAACTAACTGTTGTGGATTTCATTGACTGATGAAACAATGTTTGGGTTTGACCACCACCAGCTCTTGTTTTCCAACCTGATCCATCCTATGCCAGTCAGCTAACATTGCCCATTGTCGAGGAAGGCCATCGATGACTAGGCATACGTAACACATGTCCTAACCATCTCAGTATATGTAACTTCACAACCTCGTCTATTGATTTCCCCTCACACCTACTTAGGACTCGACCCAAGCCTAATATTGCTCACTCTATTATATCAATTAACACGGAAGATAGAACGTAGACACCTATGATAAAAGACAGCTGGCCAGGCATTTCATGTCTTCCACTCTCAATGACCAGATCCCACTGACAGCCATAAAGGAGGACGGAGTTAACCGCCGCTGAGCAGTACACACGCCCTATGGTCTATATCCAGCCGGATATCACACGTCTACACCCGAGATAGCGCATGTTCGCATATGTCAAACTAGCCTTCTGTTTCCGTGCTGAGATTTCGTTGGCGATCAACCAGTTGGCGTTGGTTGATGCAACTTCCCAAATAAGTGAAGTGGTCAACACTCTCCACCAACCGCTTCACTCCCTATGTCTAAGCTAGGAATGAGTCAACGTATTCCAGTCCAGTCCTTTAGCATCATTTTACATTTCACAAGGAGAGCGAATCGCATACCCTACATTACGAGATTGCTGCTCTTCAAAGTGTTCAGAAGACTCTGCATTTTGTCAGCGTCGTCGCCTAGAAGGACTATTTCGTCTGCATATTCTAAGTCAACGAGATTATTCCCTTGTAACATATTAGTTCCCAAGTTCCTGAATTTAGTTAGGGTTAATTCCATTATTACATCTTTGGTGAAATTGAATAGGAATGGAGATAGTGGGCATCCTCGACGACGATAGACACACCTGATTGTGCTGTCTGTATAACTGGCTCTTCAACAGCAGTCAAATTGATAAATAGATACATACAAGATAGAAGAGGTAAAATTAGGTGGTTTGTCTTCATCTCCCTAACGTAAAATAGGGTTTGTTTTGATGCGAAGATAGCGTACTTCAAAATATTTTGTATATAATTGTATTGCCGAGGGAGGATTTTATCGAAAAGAATCCTCTTTGCTTGAACCTGGTTGTGTTAGTTTTTTCTTGTCGCTTTACAACCAATCTCAGAGTCAAATATTTTCATTAACAGTGGTAATGGTTACTGGCATACCTCTTTTTTAAAAACAAACTTGTTTTTAGTGCTCTATGGCGGTCTGCTCTACCCATCTTCCAGAAGTTTTGCAATGATCAGTAAGTTCCTTTGTTATTGGATAATTTCCTACATAAGTTAGTTAATGATAACAGATTTTAAAGTATTTTGATATTAGTTGTTTTATTACATATATGTCACAGTCAGGGAAACAGTGTTGTCTGCTGGATGACGAAGTTTCGAACACAATTCTCTATTAGAATTTAATTTGTGGATGGTAACTAGCGGTGGAATCCAAGATGTGCATTTCGTCCTATTTGGGACTCGTCATCTGGATGTACCTGCATTTCCCAGTGAGTGGTGATGTTCCCACCGAGGCTCAAACCCAGTGCCCTTAGTTTCAAACATCATCACTCACTGGGAATTGCAGGTACATCCAGGTGATGAGTCTCAAGTAGGACGAAATGCGCATCCTGGATTCCACTGCTAGTTACCATCCACATATTAAATTCTAATTAAATGCCCAGAATTAATTAATTAATAATTAAATGCACAAGAAGCCGACATATCAACCTGAGACCGAGCACTTTGGTCCATTCAATCGACGGGAAAATTTCAAATACAATTCTCTATTGTTCATAATCACAGTATCAACTGAAACCACACAACTTCGAAACTTACGTTTTGTGGTTTTCCTTATCCCTTCCTATTCGTCGTACGAAGTGGTAGAATTTTCCAGATATCTGGGACAAGCATTCAATCATTCTTATTACACCTGTTTGCAGTTGATTTGATAAACAATGCTTCCGAAATCAACCTCTCCCTCCACACTGTTGCATTCGATTTTAAAACTGTCATTTTATCCCATCCTATTGTATGGCTGTGTTGTGTGTAAATGCATGTAGTGTGGTGCTACAGCTATTCTCCAAATTTCTTATATTAGTGTCGGGTCAACTAATCTAGATTTTACTAAGCTTTTATGCTCCACTAATCTGATTACCCCAGCTCCACTGCTCAAACCTATGCATTCAACTTGACAATCATTGCAGGGTATTAGATAAACTAAGTTGTTTTGCTTAGTGGGCCCCACAGGATCCTTTAACCGACAAAGCTTATATCTAATTGAGTTTGTGGGTTTGAATGCCAGCTACTTTTACTCCTTCTTTGTATGGAAGTACTACTGTAACGACAGAAGGTAAGAGTCAGGCAACAGATCATTTATTAAGGAAATCAACGCATATTTATATGTTTTCATGTACATTATTATGGATAGTTAGGCGAACAAACACAGTCTTCCAATTGGTTGTTTCTCACTTAAAATTAATCTTTCATCTATTTGTGACTATTCCTTGAATGTCAAATCATCTATATGTTAACTGTATCCGCCTACGCAAAGTATGCTCCGGTCGGTTTTGAATCAATCGTTGTTCACATTTTCTCACGACAAATCTTGGGAACGTATTGACGTGAATTACTGTCTACCAATTTGGCTAGTAGACAGCTCTCACCACACTACTGATGATTTAAATTCACCATTGTTGGTGTTGTCATTATTCTGTGCATGTTTGACGTACACAGTCATTATTATTATTATCATGTGTTACTACCATTGTAATTATTAATTTTACATTTTCCTACATACTTCTTGAATAATTTATCAGGGTAATTATTAAGTTTCAAGGTTTCTCTTATATGCCTCACTTCCTGTCTTAGATTTTCCTTAGCACTTTCCTTAGCTTTTGTGCCCTTTTACTGAAACATTTCACTGATCCTATTTTTAAAGACACAGTGTAGAATGATGGGAAATCCAAATATCGGTTTGAATGTGTGGGTTTCCTGTAAACACTAGTGTTCAACTTGCTATCGTCTTTCATTTTTTACTGTACAATCTAATATTGGAAGCTTCCCTTCCTGACTTACCAGTTCAAGAATGAATTGAATTGACACTACCTTCGAGGCTGTTTATGTTTATGTCTTGTGCTTTAACTTCGGCGAATGTGTCATCTACACACCATACTTTGTGAGTAGGGCTGAACGTTTGAATCTCTCCGATCCATGAATATATCTGCTGTGGCAACTGTCTTTGTTTGTATATTTTTACTTGGAATTCAAATACCATAAAAGTCAGGTATAGCTGCACTCCCAGCATTATGTCCTCCAGTAGTGGCACTTTTGTCGTCCCTTTGTTACCTATTGCTGTAGATCTCCATGCCGACTTCAGAGTAATAAACGCTTGTCTTGCTTTCTCGATCTGATCCTAACATCGTCATCCATCCTAGCTGTTGTTGAAACGATACTGTGTCCAGGTCGGATAAGTAAAGGAAACGACTTCCCTTATATTTCTCTCATTGACGGTGATTTGTCTAGTCTGTTTGTTAAGGGATATCTTCAACGAAATTACTAATAACAGCAAACGATAGCATCAACTGTCTAGTCAATTGGAAGAAAGCTGTACATATTTGTTTGCTAATCTCGGCCACATCTTTTGGGAGTTCTATGTTGAATCCAGCAGCAACATCTTTTGGGAAGAGCATTAGGACTTTCATTGCAGTATTTATTATTATCATTATTGTTCTGTCGAGTCCCGAGTGGAACATAGGGCTTCGACAGTACATCTTCAATTTGTCCTGTTCTCTGCAGTCACCTTCAGTTGCTCTCGCAATTGCCCATTGGCTGTCATCTCCTCTTCACACGATCTCCTCCTCCATGCCACTCTCGGACACAAGTCCAACTCTTTTTCCATCCCATTATGGGTAAATTTTTATTTTGATAGAGTCTCACAGTGTTATACAGTAATATTTACTGATGACGTTTCGAGCACAAACTATTACTCATAATCATATCATCCATTCCATCCAGATTCCACTCGAGCGATGGCCTGGTACATGGTGTCATCCGATGGCCTCCTCAGCAGCATGTGTTCAACCCATCTTCACTTTCTTCCCCATATTTTGTTAAGCAGTAGGCTGTCGATTGGTTCGTTTCCAAAGTTTTTTGTTGCTAATACTTTCTGGCCATCTAATTGTCATTATGAAGCAAACGAAGCAAGCTGTTGATGAAAGTCCCATATAGAAGAACCGACCTAACATTGGTGTTGAAAATCGGAATTCTGTTCTTTACACTGAGTTCATAAGATTTCCGACTGGTTTTAACGTACTCATCCGTGCTACAACTGCTTGTATTTGAATCGATACTGACCAGATAAGTGAAAGAAGTGATGGCTTTCAAATTTGTTCCATTGATAGTGGTGGTGGCGGTTGGTTATCTTCATAATTTCCTTCTCCTCTATGCGTTCACTTAAAGCCCCGTCTTTGCTGCCTCGTTTTCCTGTCAACTTGTTAGTTTCCGCCCGTAAGTCCTCGAGTTTGTGTGACATTAGAAATAAATCGTCCTTGAAATCCAGATCTCAAGTCTTCTTATTGGTCCAGCGTATTCCTGTCTTCTCGCTTCCCACGGACCATGTTCCTCATAATCCAGTACACCACAATTAGGAATACCATCGGTGGCAGTAGGCTAAAAGTCTTATCTTACTCCTGTCTTACTCCTTCAAAGGCTTCTCTGACTTTCTGGTTGTGGATCACTTAACACTTTGCATTGTCATATAGAGCCAGCTGTTGAATGAGGTTGATAAAGATTTGTGGCATTGCACTCCATAACAATGCAGAATTACTTCACGATCAACGCTGTCGAAGGCCTCTCCAGGATGTCGCGAATTATAATATTTTGCTTGGCATAGACAAGAGGGTGATCCAGCGCTAGTTCTTGCAGTTTAACAAGGTAGCAGCATTTCTTTCAATCAGTAGGTACCCTTCTTTCCTTCTAAACTTGGTGCAACAGTGGCGTGTCAACATCCTCTGCAGTCTTTGGTCCCGTGTACAGAATTTCCCAGCCGAGTAGATTCATACTTTCCGTATGATTTTCTATGTTAAATTGACTATTAGGTTGTAAGTTTTTCACACTTGAGTTTGTGTTAATTTCATCTGAATTGCATGCGTGTGTGCCTTTGCTTCTCGTTAAACTCTTGTTTTTCTTTTCTTTTGTTCTAGTGGTTTATGCAATAACACTTCAACCTCCCAGTCGACTGCAAAATCTTCAAACAACAGTAGCAACAATAACAACACTAATGCTAATTTAACAAACTCAAATAACGGAAGAAATTCTAATCCAGTGTCTTCTGCAAACGCTTCGTACACCTCTGATTCTTCTATCCTATCATCACAAAATTCTCCTGTTGTCATTCTACCGAACATTTCAAATATTTCAACACCGGTTACCGTCTCTAAAACCACGCCTAAGATAACTGCCACTTCTCTTGTCACCAACACCACTCCTCGTGCAAGTTTGCCAGCTGCTGCTACTGCTACTGCCACCTGCAGTCCAAAATTGAATTCAATTCCTGTCACAAAATACTGTCAGTCACCTCCTGTACTACAGTCGACTGCACAAACAGTGAATCGACCAAACTTTCGAATTACACCATCTTCAGTGGCACAGAACCCTAACCCTAACACAAAACCAACCACTAGCAGCCCGAAAGTTCCACTCACTCTGTGCGTAGATACTGGATCATCTCGTATCTCCTATGTACTTCAATCGAATGTAGGATCTGTATCACCGAATAATTCACTTGTCGTCCCAGTCGCCGCCTCTTCTCTATCACCTCAGACAACATCACAATTCAATCGGACGCCTATCCTGCAGAATGAAGCTATAATCGGTAGTCGAGTTTCTCATTCTAATGCAACAGTACCTCTGCGTCTTGTTTCATCGAGTTCTACAAATCCGTCAGCAGCAACAACAACAACACCTACTGTTTTATTATCAAAGACAGCATTACAGCTGAATTCTGAACTAGGCGGCGGCGGCGTCGGCAGTGCCGGTGGCAATAAGCCTGCTATGATCAATCCAGTGGCTGTTAAAAGGTAGGCTTTTCTCTGTTGCTTACTTTATCAGTCACTGGTAATAATGATAATAATAATGAATGTGTGGTCTATGTTAAAGTCATTCATATATATATCAATAGATTTTGATTCTAAGAACACTCAGTGTCTGTGTACTCTCCCGGTGAATCAGCCTTAATCATTGTAAATTGTCAATATTCTAGTATTTTTGTTCGTCACAACAATAAACTGACAATAAACATTTACTTCTTGAAACACCTCCCTCTCTTTTCTTTCTCTTTTCTTATTTTTCTATGGATGATAGAGGAGTTAGTGTAGAAGTGTTCATTTCGGTGTATACCTTGGCGTCGAGTTGTAGTGTGATTCAGTTATAATCAATTATACTTCGTTGAAATAACATTCGGTTTATATATATATGTATTATAAAGTAAGAAGTTAGCAATATTGGGTATTGGGTTCCGTTGTGCAAATAAAGTGAATACCACGTGTGTAATCTGTCAAAATTACAGTTAGGCGAAGTTGATTCAACTTTGGCGATGGAGATTATTCTCTGGTAACTCAGGGATTGACTTGCTACCAGGGTATAATCTCGTTGACTTAGAATATGCAGACGATATAGTCCTTCTAGGCGAGGACGCTGGCAAAATGCAGAGTCTTCTGAACACTTTGAGGAGCAGCGATCTTCTAATGTTTGGCATGCGATTCGCTCCCACCCAATGTAAGATGTTACAGGATTGGACTACACTAACTCCTAGTTTAGAAATAGGAAGTGAAGTGGTAGAGCACGTTGACCGCTTCACTTACTTGTGAAGTACCATCAACCAACGCCAACGGGTTGATCTCTAACGAAATCTCACTACGGATACAGAGGGCTAGTTTCGCATATACCAACATACACCATCTCTGGTGTAGACGTGTGATATCCCGCTGGCTATCGACCATAGGGCGTGTGTACTGCTCATCAGTCCGCTCCGTCCTCTTTAATAGCTGTGAGACCTGGCCATTGTGAGCGGAAGACATGAGAAGATTAGCTGTCTTTGATCATAGGTGTCTGCGTTCTATCTCCCGTGTGAAGTGGTATAATAAAGTGAGCAATATTGAGTTTAGGCGTCCAGTGCTAAATAAGGAGGGGAAATCAGTCGATGAGGCTGTGAAATTACATCGACTCAGATGGTCAGGACATGTGCTACGTATGCCTAGTCACCGATAGCCTTCCTCGACGGGCAATGTTAGCTGATATAGGGCCAGACTGGAAAAGAGCTAGCAGCGGTCAAACGAAAACATGGCACCAGTCAATGAAATTCACGACAGTTAGTTTGATCCAGCCACGTGGGAAGGTGTAAACTGCCTAGCTGGTTGGGGTCTTCAGGACAGTAAAAACCAGTGGTTGGAAACAATTGGTGACATGGCTCAAAATCGTTCTCACTGGCGCAGATGCATCCACTCCTTGTGACTTATGATTTCCAATGAAACTGTTTTGTTCTTCCTTATTACTATTCCTTTGTCTCACACCTCTGTTTACTGACTATATTATGCATTTCTTCTCTTGCTTTGTGGGCTACATGGCGTGTGGCGACTTGAATTGCCGCACATCGGTGCAAAGTTCTATGTTGAAAACAGACAGACAGGGAAACTGCATCATTCCTAATCGACTTATCTCTGACTAAATATCAATACAAATACAGAAGGCTCGTGTGGCATTTGTTAACATACATCATCTGTGGCGTAGGCGTGATATCCATCTGGTTATTGACCAGAGGACTGCACAGCAACAATTCGCTCCATGCTCCTTCATAACGGTGAGAGGGGAATGATCATTGAAGTTGGAAGACAAGAAAAGGCCGGCCAGCTGTCTTTGATCACAAGTGTTTGTCAGCTCATGATGAAATCTTGTAACCAATCAACACTTGAATATAATTTTCATGAGTTAGTTTGTAGGCATTTGATTTATCTCAAGGTTGACTCAAAATTCATATCATTTAGAGAACCAGTGAAAACCAGTAGGATATATGTACTGCTCATTGTCTTTCATTCCAGTATGGTACTCATTGGCAGTACGCACCTCTCGCCCATGGTTTGAACCCAGCCAACGAATAATATACACATCACCAGCCGAAAAACAGAAGATGCTAACTGACGATCATAGAGCAGCAGTACTGAATATAAACTCTATGAAAATGATAACATCGTCATGTTTACTTACACCTGAGATAAAGACTCTGGCTTTTGTTATAGTGAATAAACAAAACTGATAATGTGCATATATAAGACTGCTGACATTTGTTAACGATCCGGAAACAAATTCCAGGTGAACAAAACAAAACTAAAATGGATGCAAAATCGTCATTTGAAAATAAGGTAAATCAGTGCCTCAAAGAACCCCCTAACTGGAAATCTCGTCTTTCTTTATCGAAATTTATCGAAGGAACCAAATGTGTGAATATGTAGTGTCGTTGAGTAGGTATTTTTTGCATGTTGTTAGAAATCAGTGTTTTCCGTGACTTCATTCTTTCTTCGAAGGTTAATTGACACAGCTTTTCTATCTCATGAGATGACTTTCTCTCTGCGCTGTTCAGAGGTACAATAGTAAAGGATAAATAAGATACCTAAAACTTTGAGATTATCAGTGTTTAGTGGTCAGTCAGCACCACCGGACTGATTGGCGACGAAATCTCAGCACGGATCCAAAAAGCTCGGGCTGCTTTCGCTGACTTACACCATCTCTGGCGTAGGCGTGACATCCGGCTATCAACTAAGGGACGTGTGTACTGCTCAGAAGTTCGCCCCGTCCTTCTCTTTGGCTCTAAAGCATGGCCAATACGAGTTGAAGACATGAAAAGGTTGACTGTTTTTGATCATAGATGTCTACGATCTCTCTCTCACGTTAGGTGGTATAATAAGGTAATGTTGACGTTAGGCGTAGAGTGTTGGGCAAAGAGGGAAAATCACTCGAAGAGGCTATAAAGTTACATAGATTGAGATGGCTAGGTCACGTGCTACGCATGCCTAACCATCGCCTCCCCCACCCGACGGGCATTACTAGCTGATATAGGTGCAGGTTGGAAAAGGGTAAGTGGTGGCTAAACAAAAACATGGCCTCATCAATCCATGAAATCCTTGACAGTTAAACTGAGTCAGGTAGGGAGGGAGATGCAGACTTCCGGGTTGGGGCTGGCCCTCGGGACTCTAAGAATCAATGGCTGGAGACAACAGGTGACATGGCTCAAAATCGTTGTCAATGGCTTACGCAGATGTATTCAGTCTCTGTAATCTTTGATATTCCTCTCTACCATTACTCATTCTGTTTCACTCTTATACTTGTCAAAACTCTATTGATTCTCTTCACTCATTTTCTTGGAGTCGGTGGCATAGCGGTTAGGACGCTCGCGGACCATGCACATGGTCCGGGGTTCGATTCCCGGCCGGCGCACTCCTTTACCTCGCTAAGCCAGAAATAACACTGGTGAAAAGGAAAGGTTGGGCATGAGGCTAGCAACCCCATCCCGTAAAATAAACACTGCTACAGAAACTTCAAGCCACTAGCTTGAAGCCCTGTGTTCCACTGGGGAACGTGAAAGAAAAAAAATTCATTTTCTTGTCTACTTTTGTGTGCTATTTAGAACGTGGCAACTCGAACTGCTGCACTTCGGTGCCGAGTTCTATGTTGAATCCAGACAGACAGGTCAGTCAGAAGGGGAGGAGAATGACGGGTAATTGTAGTCGTGAGATATGCAGATCTGCTGAATATATAGTCACATAGGTTTTGTTCAGTTCGCTGTTTTGTCGAGCCACAAGTAGGTAGGCAGCTCCAGCGTCCATACAGTTAGTTCTTGAGCGGGTTATCCTCGGTGAACGTAGACATTTGTTTTTTGCAGGCCAACAGAAACTTCCTGGTGTATTGCTCTCTCGTTTCAGGTGACTAACAGTCCTCTCAACTACTGGAGTTAGATAATAAGCAAGTGAATTATTTCCCGGGCTAGTTAAACTTTCTCTTGAAATGCTTTTTATTACAGTTTATTTCAGCTGTGTGATGCATTGCAAAGGTAATGCATTTTACAAAATTCTGCTTCGGTACATCGAAAGTGCGCTACCATACTGTTTAAAATTATTAAGTTTTTCCCGGTGATTACGTAACCTCTTTCTATAGCTTATGATTTCACTTGACATGTATTTTATGGCAATCGTTGTCCAACTGACCGAACGAGTTTTAACTTAGAGTTATGGCCAGAAGTACAGCATTTCCTGTCATCACACAAAGTTAGAGAGAGGAAAGCAATTTGAAAGGACTATATTAAGCAGAAAGAGGTCACTTCCTTCACTTATCTGGTTACGCAGCAGCTTCGTCTCAACTACAGGCAGATGGCACAGATGAGGATGTCAAAACCAGAATCGGAAAGGTAAGAGTGACGTTCATCACCCTAAAATCAATTTGGAAATCTTCTGTACTCTTCAGCATAAACAACAAAATTCGGATATTCAACATAAGTCAGTCAGTTCTTCTATATGGGTCAGAAACTTGGTGAAGACATCACAAAAAGCATTTCCAACAGGTTTCAGACATTTTAATCGATAGCTGACTTCTCTGATTCCATACTGAAGATCAGGTGGTGACCCATCAGAAAGAATGGGCAACAAAATCTTTGACTTGTGGCAAAATCAAAAATTCTGCTGAAGAAAATAGAAATGGACTGGTCACACGCCAAGGAGATCATCGAATGAGATTGCCTGCCAGGCCTTCGAGTGCAAACTGGGTGGGGGACGGCTAGGTGGGTATGGGTCCGAGGGTGACATGAAGGAAATCCTGGAAGGAGCAGATAAAAGACTATGGGCAAACGTATGGCTAGCTGCAGAGGACAGGACAAGGTGGAGACGTGTTGTTGTAGCCTTATGTTCCACTTGGAACCCAAATAATAAATATTAAGGAAAAATGTACAGGAGAAAAAGCAGACAGGTTTGGTGATCGTGATGCATCACAAAGAGTGAGTGCTTCTTCGCTATTGTCAATGATTTTCAGCCACACC